TCTCTGTCGTCGGTGATCGCGTTCGAAAACCATCTTCAACAGATTCATACTCAGAGCAAATGATTTCACATTTACTGGCCAACTGGGCACGCTTTCCCCAAATTTAAAACACATTTCACGACCTTCTTTTTGTGGTTTTTGCGCACAGAAACGAAAGTAGAGTTACGGAGCGGACCGCAAATGTGGGGGGTGGGGGGAGGGGTGAGGAGGGGAAAAGCAAACCACTGAATACACCAGAAATTGGGGCTTCCTGTTTCTGGGAGGTGGGCATGCCAGTACAAAGGGACACTGGGCGCAGCACTCTGCAACCCAGAACCTTGCATCGTGAACGAAAATTGTAAACAAAAATGACTCATGGGTTCGTTCCTTTGACAGAAACAACGTCCTCACCTAATTCTCGGGCGGTTCGAATGACCTTTATTTGTATATAGAACGACCTTCTGTTGCATAATATTTTTGTGTATGGCTAAGTGCTACTTCTATGGATGGTAATTCAAACATAGGTGATCAAAAATGTGCTTTCGAATCCCGTAAAGTGCTGTGTGTGGGTGCGTTGTTAGGAAGTTTGTCTCCAAAACCTGATTCGGCAGAAAGAGGACGTGAGGAGGTTTTGAGCGGTGCACAGAACGGCCACAAGTTACGGTAACAAGGTGCAGTGACCATGAAATTGAAAACGCTAAAAATGGACAATGAATAACACAGAAATATACTTATTCAAGAGGTGCAAGCAAAAATGACTTCTTGAGGTGGCCGCCGTCTGCACTGACACAAAAGCCAAACATTTAGAGAAGCCCACTGACCATGGTGTGAAATGGACGCGTCTTAACTAATTCAAAGTTGTTTGAGCAATTTCCGCAACTCACTGGAGTTTTTTCAGGAAACTTCCAGAGCCTACTCTCACTCTAACATACGCCATGCATGTAGTAATCAGTTGAACTTGAATGAACTACATGATCCCTATCTCGGACGCAACCATTTCTAGTAGGAGTTTCTATTATAGTTGCGCAAACTTGGCCTCTCCTTCACTTCGTTTGCGAGCGCTCTGTCTTGTTGAAGGGTCCAGCGATTGAGTTTGAAATTCTTTTTTGAAGGATTAAGTTTAGGTTTAAGTTTGCAGGATGCCCTGCTAAATTTTACAAAGACAATGGTGTCATTGATCTAGATGCAAAACCAACACAGCCTGCCACTCAATCCGGGCAAACTGTTGTTTGAAGTACCAAAGTTGGCTCACGATTAGTCCGTATCTTCAAGGGCGGCTAACTAAAGTGTGTCCCGAAAGCAAAGATCTTCCCAGTAATCGAAAAATCGGAAAATCACGCCTGTTACAAAATCGGACCAGCACCTACTTGCACCGATGCTTTCTTCCAATTTTGCCCATATCAGTCAGGAAAGAAGACTTTTCATTGTATGCCTCTGTCTTGAAATGTAAACCAATGATCTCCTCA